CCTTAACGAAAACTAAACATAACCTTAAAAGCACCTCGCATGTCGAGATCATAAATCATAATCCCAATTAAAAACGGAACCACAGGTGATGGACTGTCAAGTGTCACCCTAAACAGTAATACCAACATGGTTACTAATATTAACATGGCGCAAAATACAAATATACCTACAGTTCGGCCATACTGACAAAACTGATCGTCTCGATCAGGAAATAAACAAAATTGACATCAAAAAAAATATAAGTCATACGAAGTTATTACATAATGGTTTTCATAATGGCATAATATCAAAAAATAAACAAGTCATAAAAGGTTACATAATGGGTTTTTCATAAGTGGCATATTTAAATAAACAAGTCATAAAAGGTTACATAATGAGTTTCATAAGTTGCATAATATCAAAATAAACAAGTCATAAAAGGTTACATAATGGGTTTTTCATAAGTTGCATAATAAAAAAAACAAGTCATAAAAGGTTACATAATGGTTTTCATAAGTTTCATAATAAAATAAACAAGTCATAAAAGGTTACATAATGGTTTTCATAAGGGTACATAACATAATGGTTTTCATAAGTTTCATAAGGGATACATGACATAATATTTTAAATAATGTTTTTGGAAACATGAAACAATCATAATTTCTATTGTTTTCCCATAATACCATAATTCATAAATATATTCATAATACGTTTCAATACAAGCCATAAACTCAAAATAACAGTACATAAAGACTTAAACTTAATATGAATATTAACAAAAATTATTTGTAAAATAACATGTTAGTCGGGGCTGTATGGTTTAATTCGAGCCGCTTTGACAGTACCATCATAAGGTATTTGTGTATTCTGAAACTCGATTATATTGGTTACTATATATCGGTCATGGGGTAGGACTGCTTTGATTTCATACGGACCCTTAAACTTAGGTATCAACTTTTTGCTAAACCCTGGAGTTGTGTCATAATTATCAAATTTTCAAGTAACCTAGTTGAAAATTTTTTGTGATTTTTTAATAATAATTTCTCAATAAATTCCACGGTAACCTATATATTTTATTGTAAAAAACAAAACCTAAATATTTCAAAAACCTTATTTTTAGTTTTTTTCTACTCCATCTAATCAATAAATAATAGTAAAATTAATTATAATTCGAAAATTGTTGTTGAAGTCTTACTTTCTCATAAGACACTGTACAAACACACACATTTAAAAAAAAATTCTCAAAAATTTGCACGGTAAGGTATAGTTAAAAGTTCACTATTAGATAAATAAGGACATCTACTATTAGAAAAAAATTAATTTTAGTCATAATCTAATATTTTTTATTTAACATTGGTGGCGAAAGGACCTTCTTAAATGGGAAGTCATAATCTTTAATATTTTCAGCACTACCTTAAATTTCCCATCCTTAAATGAAATATCCTTAATATTATTATTAATCATAAAATATCTGCCTAACAATAAATCAAAACTTATGGTGTTTTTTTTTACAACATGAAAAGTCATATTAATTAATATATTGCCTATACAAATCTCACCTGAATATAAACCGATAATATCTAATGGCGTCATGTTAATACCAGTATATTTGTAGTTATTATTAAGGGTCATATCTATATCTTCATATTTTATTAAATGATTACTAATTAATGAGATTGAACTTTCACTGTCCAGAATACCCAAAACATTATAATGGTATTTAATAAAATCTAACTTTAAAACATATGGTTCTCTAGTGTGTGTAGCACTCCCGCACTTAAAACACGAACCTCGTTCACGACGTGGCTGACGGCACTCACAGATTCGATGACATATACGTCCGCAATTAAAGCACTTAATTTGCGACTGTCTGGCTTGGACTCCACTACCTGACGATCCCGGGGTACTACTGTAGACAGGTCTCTGACTAAATAAAGGAATCTGTGTGGTTCTCGGGGATCATCCTTAATCACCATTGTTCATTAAACTAAACAGTTCGTCTGTACTATAGATTGTGTGCAGCATCATAAGAGCCTGGTTCTGTAACATCTTGTCATCAAAACCGTCGATGATGTAATGGATCATGTCTGAATCACCTACATCGGCACTGTTTCCCAAAATAAGTTTATCGTGAAAATAACTCGAGAAACTTTCATTTTTCTTTCATCTCCTACTTTCCATTCTCCATCTCAGCGTAACTGGGGCTGATGTATTTCCATACATCCTTCTTAATTCGGTCTTGAGGACGTCCCAAGTCATAGAAATTAAATCAGTTTTGCTTAAATACCAATCTTTTGCTTTACTGGTTAATTTTCCAATTGGCAATAGTTGAATTACATCGTCTGTAACTTCGTATGTTGTTTGTACCCTTTTAATTCGGTCTAACCACACTAATACACTTAGGCCTCTCTCTGTGCCTGAAAACTCTGGGAGTAGTGCTGAAAGTTCGGCGTTACTAACATTCTGCTCAACATTTTCTTGTTGCCTGGTTCCTTATTTTTTAAACCGTTCATAATCCATAATTGCCCTAACTGTGGCCTGCACGACTTCGTCAACACGTACGGCAGCCGATTGATCGTCATTATGATCGACTGAAGACGCTTGAAATTTTAATTGTCAATATTTACCTCATGGCTGTTTATTCCCACAAAATAAACCTGATAATTACATAGCGGCATTTTACACCTTAACGAAAACCTTAAAAGCACCTCGCATGTCGAGATCATAAATCATAATCCCAATTAAAAACGGAAACACAGGTGACAGACTGACAACTGTCAAGTGTCACCCTAAACAGTAATACCAACATGGTTACTAATATTAACATGGCGCGAAATACAAATATACATACAATAATGACGTCAAGATCATCGCTTTACATAGGTTCTTCAATTTTCTCGAAACTTGGTGGAGAATAACTGATTGATTCATGTTCACAGCTTCGGTAGGCTAGAAATTGAATTAAAATGGTCCAGTCCTTTTGGTTTTCAGAGACGAACATTAAAATATACTGGCAAATGGTTCTATGGTGTATTTCTATCATTTCGTCATTCTGTAGGTGGAGAGGTGCAGTGCGTGTTTTCCTGATGCCTAACATTTTTATAAATTCTTGCCATAATTCGGATTCAAACTTTCGTCCTTAGTCAGAATGGAATTCCAGAGTGATTTCATGTCTTGTTATGACGTTCGTCATAAATGCTTCCGCTATTTTCGTCGCTTCCTGATTAGGAATATGCGCTATTTATTTAACTAATCATAACTTCGTTTTCAGAGAACAAAATAGAAATAATTTACGTTCTTTAAGCAATCTATTTGAACTTCCTGAAGAAAATTTCAGGCAAATGTATCGATTGAATGTTGAATCTGCAAGAGATTTATTTGAGGAAATTTTTCCACACCTTAATAATGGACAACGAAGAAGCAAAATTCCTATAGTCGTAAGAGTAAGTAATAGTATTGGTATCCTAATCATAAGAAGATATAAAATAGGCATATTTTTTTGGTTTTTTCTGCCTTACATTTTCTGGCACATGGAAGTTACCAAAAATCAGTAGCTCAGGTTAGGTTAACTGGATTGTCACAACCTGCCTTGAGTCGATGTATTCATGAGGTGATTAATATCATTGTGAACCATTTAATTAATCATTATATCAAATTTTCTCGAAATCCAGTGGAAATTGCTAATTTAAAAAATAGGTAATAACTGTTTGTGATTTTAAACTTTTTTTGTAACTTTTGTACCTAACATTTTGTAAATTCTTTAGAAAACATGAAATTTCTGGTATACGCATGTAAAAATTATAACTCCGTCATTTTTTCAACTTGATAATCCACCAAATGTAATTATGAATAGAAAAAATGTCTATAACAACAACTGCCAGATGCTTAGTTACCTCTCTATATTTATTGTTATTATTCTGTTATACTAAACTTTATTTTAGATATGCGATGTGAATACCAAAATTTTGTGTTCTTGACAAAATAATATAATAAATATTACAGTTATAGGAAAAAATAGGGTAAAAGTTGAATTTTGAAAGCGCAAATAAATTAATTGTATCCACAAAATTTAGTAACTAAAAATTACAATGCCTATATACCAAATTTTTTTGTCAAAAAAAGGAGTTATAAAGTTTGTAGATAAAGATATCGATCCGGAAGAATTATGGTCAATGATCCAACAGCGATATAGAAATAAATTAGAAATTATACACGTAAAGAGAATAAATAGAAAAGGAAGTACATCTGACGGAAAGATAGATTATATTCCAACGTCTACCATAATAGTAACTTTTAAAGGTCAATTAGTCCCAACGCAAGTGGTTATAGAAAAATTAATATACGATGTAGAAACTTACATTCCTAGAATAATTCAGTGTCTAAAATGCTTACGATTCGGACATGTGAGTTCGTGAGGTAAGGAAAGGTGTAAATTTTGCGGAAGTGTACATGAAAGTAGAAAATGTCCAGATCAAAATAACCACTGTTGCTAGCAAAGAAAGAAATTGGGATTTAAGATCAGACAAAGAAAAAGAAATAGCTGTATAAAAAATTTATGTATCCATAGTACTATGCAATATGGAAATACACCAAAAAAAGGCAAAGGGAAAAACGAAAAAAGAAAGAAAAGATGCAACAGAAGTAGATGGTGATGCAACAAGAAAAAGGATGCACTATGACCTCCCATCAACAAGTAGTGAAAAAAGCACCCAAATATGGCCATCAACATCATCATCCTCTTCTTCAATAGATACAATAAATCCTTTTGACGATGATTGTATAATGCAACACTTGACGAAAACCAAATGATCTAAAACATGAATAACAACGAATTAATACAAAATATATTATGTGAAGATTGAAAGGCATCATGTATTATGGGACTTAGCTGACCACAATCTACAAAAGTTCATAGGTATAGTATTAACAGATGATTTTGAAAGCGAAGAAATAATACTATCAAGATCTATGTTAAACGGTCCAGCTCTTCATACATTATTATAAACCCCAACAACGCTACTATGAAATGGCTGCATCACCTAGTAGGCTTAGCTGGAGAAGAAGAAGAAGTGACCACTTTCCTATCAAAAAGACTAGCATTAGTAAAGAAACTAGGAATCATAGAAATTAAACTACAGTTTTCATCTGATATAGCAAAAACCATATTCGCAAGTAGCTACTTCAACCAAGGATTGAAAAAATGGATAAATGATTGGAACGAAGAAGCTTACGTACAATATGACGCCAAAGAACTTTATGGAGATGTCATCAAATACCCCAGCACAAGAGGGCCATCAGATCTATTAAGCGCTCTTTCTAATTTAGAAGAACCAGACAGATATCAAGTGATAAGATACAAGGGAAAAATATCTCCTGAAGGATGGGTCCACAGATGAGAAACCGACTCCGAAATGGTAGATGCAGCAATGAAAGAAATAACAAGGGATAAAACTAACAGCAAGCCTATTGTGATCAATAATTACAAAATAAAACAAAAAATTGATGTATTAGATCAGATAATCATGATGTGGGAAAGTATAGAGAAAAACACACTACATCAATACATACTTGACAAAGAGCCCCATAAGAATACATCTATATCAGACATGTTAGGAATAGGTATGAAGAAACGCCATTACAACCCTGAAGGTCAAAACATGAAGCAAAAGTATGACTTCTACTTACCAAAATGTAGATACGACAACTAAGTAGTGAAGAAAAGCGGTTTCTAATTCAAAATGTGGGTAGGATAGTGTACTGGTGTGAATAAGTGAGCTCGATGGCACTTGGTTGATGGTAGATGTGTGTAGTTGGGGTGTGAATATGAAGAAGTGTTGTGTGGGGTGTGTGAGGCTATGGGGTTGTGTTGTGTAGACGTCAGTGGGGTTGATTTTTTGTGGATTGCGTATGTACATAATGGTATATTTTGCGTGGGTGTTAAAAAATGTGTATAGAATATTTGCTGTTGGTTTGTAAGATTATGGGAGATTGTAAATAATATTAATTAGGTTGCAGATTGTGCTAATCGACTTCCTTGACCAAATTGATTTTGGGACTTTGGGGTGTTATCGCGAAAATGTAGATAATGGTGTTTGCGTGGGTATTTTGGATGTTAAATGATTGAGTTTTGCTTTAGTTTGTATGGTTATCGCGTAAATTAGAAATACAAAATTATGTTGTGTTGATTGTTAATCAATTTCCTTCGCAAAAACTGATTTTGGTATTTTTTTTGTAATTAAAACCGATATAAGATGTGATTGTTAAATTTGATATGATATGATATGATTAAATGTATGTTACTTTTTGCTTGTTAGATTACTTCCACATGCGAATTTTGGCATAATTTTTGGTTATCGTTATGGCGAGTTAATTGGCTATATCGTGTACATATTTTACTAGTTCCACATATGAATTTTTTTATAGTAAATGTGAGGGGAGAGATCAAAATTATTTAGTTCATAATGTGCTTTCAATTGACAATAGTCTAAGAGGGGAAAGACCTGTTTATCTAATATTTGTCTGTTATTCTACGTCAGTAGTATATATACTAGTCAACGATCTCCGCAGTTTAAAACTCTATAGAAAAAGTAAGTTTATTACTACTAATTTGTTATGTTAAATAAAAAATGATGATTTTGTTCTTACAAATACATTTTAATTTTAGATGAATCTTTCAGAAATAAACAAATCTGTTGATATTAAAGAGCTATCTGCTAAGATTTACTTCAGGGAGAAAAGTTCCGAATAGTTTCGCTAAAAATAGTGAAAACGAGATTTAAAGAGGTTCCGGTGGTGGAGTGCCCCGAATTCAAGATGTACCTTCCGAAGCGTAGTACGCAGGTTATAATAGAAAATTTGGAAAATGTTCGTCCCAACCACTACTATCTAATTTTTGAGGGTCTGCAAGACATTGGATATCCCGCTACCAATTTTACTATTGTAGAATAATTTAGAATCATCATTAAGAGTATATTGGTGAGTTTTTACAATTAGATAAGCGAAACATTTTTATATTTTAATTGAATTCAAGTGATATTGCGGTACTAAGTGACATCATTATTAAAAAATTTAAAGAAGTAAAAACATTATTATTTGATAATTTTACATTACGTCAAGGAGAGGTTTGGGTTAAACAAGTCATATTCGGCTATGTAATATTGCAATTAATGATGCAGATTTAACTGTAGGACCGTTAAATAATTTACAAACTAATATTGGACATTTAAAACGATTTTTAATTTTAATAAAAAATGATCATGTTGGACAAGGATTGAGCCCGAAACGTAGTAGTTTGAGGATCGTGTAAGAAACGGCGTGATAATAAATTTAGTGCATAAGGACATAACGCAATTTTTAATAGATGCATTTTATTTATTTAAATAATTTAAATAATTTAAAAAAAATTTATAAACTAAAAGTCAATACAACATTTTTTGGCGAATTTATATAAAAAAAAAAGAAAATGATATTATAGAATTGAAATATTTTATTACTCAAAATGAGGCTATTGATGTAGGAACGAACTTAAACATTTGGTTTGAAGAAAACGTAATAGATAAAATTTCAAATAAGATTTCAGAATTTGGGAAAAAATTATCAGGGTGGGCTTTTAGAAGTTAACGTTAATTAATTAGAGCAGGGAAATGGAACTTCATCTTTTGTAGAGTTACCTGAAGAAATTAAAACTAAACGTGCTTGCATAAATGTTGAAAATGATGATAATGCTTTTATTGGTCAATGGTAAGTGCTCTTTTTCCTGTGGAACAAAATTCTCACAGAATATCATCTTATCCTCATTACAAACAGGTTTTAAAAACTAAAGGTTTAGATTTACCAATGACTTTAAAAGAATTATTTATTGTTTCGGCCTTTACTTGATGAAAATCCATTTTATCTTGAATGAGTAAAACCAAATTTGGTAGATTTTCACAAAACTTTTATTTAAAAAAATAAAAAATAAAAATTAAAAACACTACACATGACATGTTTCGAAGTACAATTTTGAAAAAGAAGTTTCGTTACGTTTCGTTACGTTTCGTTACGTTTCGTTACGTTTCGTTACGTTTCGTTACGTTTCGTTACGTTTCGTTACGTTTCGTTACGTTTCGTTACGTTTCGTTACGTTTCGTTACGTTTCGTTACGTTTCGTTACGTTTCGTTACGTTTCGTTACGTTTCGTTACGTTTCGTTACGTTTCGTTACGTTTCGTTACGTTTCGTTACGTTTCGTTACGTTTCGTTACGTTTCGTTACGTTTCGTTACGTTTCGTTACGTTTCGTTACGTTTCGTTACGTTTCGTTACGTTTCGTTACGTTTCGTTACGTTTCGTTACGTTTCGTTACGTTTCGTTACGTTTCGTTACGTTTCGTTACGTTTCGTTACGTTTCGTTACGTTTCGTTACGTTTCGTTACGTTTCGTTACGTTTCGTTACGTTTCGTTACGTTTCGTTACGTTTCGTTACGTTTCGTTACGTTTCGTTACGTTTCGTTACGTTTCGTTACGTTTCGTTACGTTTCGTTACGTTTCGTTACGTTTCGTTACGTTTCGTTACGTTTCGTTACGTTTCGTTACGGTTTCGTTACGTTTCGTTACGTTTCGTTACGTTTCGTTACGTTTCGTTACGTTTCGTTACGTTTCGTTACGTTTCGTTACGTTTCGTTACGTTTTGTTACGTTTCGTTACGTTTCGTTACGTTTCGTTACGTTTCGTTACGTTTCGTTACGTTTCGTTACGTTTCGTTACGTTTCGTTACGTTTCGTTACGTTTCGTTACGTTTCGTTACGTTTCGTTACGTTTCGTTACGTTTCGTTACGTTTCGTTACGTTTCGTTACGTTTCGTTACGTTTCGTTACGTTTCGTTACGTTTCGTTACGTTTCGTTACGTTTCGTTACGTTTCGTTACGTTTCGTTACGTTTCGTTACGTTTCGTTACGTTTCGTTACGTTTCGTTACGTTTCGTTACGTTTCGTTACGTTTCGTTACGTTTCGTTACGTTTCGTTACGTTTCGTTACGTTTCGTTACGTTTCGTTACGTTTCGTTACGTTTCGTTACGTTTCGTTACGTTTCGTTACGTTTCGTTACGTTTCGTTACGTTTCGTTACGTTTCGTTACGTTTCGTTACGTTTCGTTACGTTTCGTTACGTTTCGTTACGTTTCGTTACGTTTCGTTACGTTTCGTTACGTTTCGTTACGTTTCGTTACGTTTCGTTACGTTTCGTTACGTTTCGTTACGTTTCGTTACGTTTCGTTACGTTTCGTTACGTTTCGTTACGTTTCGTTACGTTTCGTTACGTTTCGTTACGTTTCGTTACGTTTCGTTACGTTTCGTTACGTTTCGTTACGTTTCGTTACGTTTCGTTACGTTTCGTTACGTTTCGTTACGTTTCGTTACGTTTCGTTACGTTTCGTTACGTTTCGTTACGTTTCGTTACGTTTCGTTACGTTTCGTTACGTTTCGTTACGTTTCGTTACGTTTCGTTACGTTTCGTTACGTTTCGTTACGTTTCGTTACGTTTCGTTACGTTTCGTTACGTTTCGTTACGTTTCGTTACGTTTCGTTACGTTTCGTTACGTTTCGTTACGTTTCGTTACGTTTCGTTACGTTTCGTTACGTTTCGTTACGTTTCGTTACGTTTCGTTACGTTTCGTTACGTTTCGTTACGTTTCGTTACGTTTCGTTACGTTTCGTTACGTTTCGTTACGTTTCGTTACGTTTCGTTACGTTTCGTTACGTTTCGTTACGTTTCGTTACGTTTCGTTACGTTTCGTTACGTTTCGTTACGTTTCGTTACGTTTCGTTACGTTTCGTTACGTTTCGTTACGTTTCGTTACGTTTCGTTACGTTTCGTTACGTTTCGTTACGTTTCGTTACGTTTCGTTACGTTTCGTTACGTTTCGTTACGTTTCGTTAATATGGTCGGTACATGTGATACGTCGTTGAAAAGGTCTTAACGTACAGAGTAAGGGAAAAATAATGAAAAAATTAAGAGTGATATACAGGTCGTCTCAAGAAGTAGCATTTAACGAAAAAGGTGGTGAATCGAGAATACGGTAGCTAATATACTTTAGCTAATGCCTTTAAGGAAAAATATCTAAAAATTCAAAGTTCTATACAGAGCGGCTCCGTAACATCAGACTCGCTTATTATTATTCTGATTTAAGCCGCTCCTTACGAATATTTTATGCTTCGCTCACTTAGCACCTAACTTCATTCCTATTGGGCCGATCTAAACGGAAAACATTTAGTTATACGGGTTATTAACGCTACTACGTATCACGTGAAGTCCTCGATGTTATTATATTAGTAAAAAAAAAATTTGATTTCGACAATATGTATAAGCTAGTAACAGGATTTATATCAAAACGGACGTAATGTCATATTTTAAAGTTGGTAG